CCCTTGCCATTCGTACATATATCACCTCGAGACATGCTGATCGTGTTGCAAGGAATTTGTTGCAATTTGTGGGTGCTGCTTATCACAAGAACCCGATGGTTTTGTGTAAGGCAGATGGTGCTCCTGAGATTGCATCAGCCTGTGCACAAATTGGCTGGGCAGTTGAGGCAAGCCTGGAGAACAGGTGGCCTCATAACAGCTGCTTGGAACGGCAGATCCGCACACTCCAAGAGGTCACTCGTGCCTGTCATCTACAAGCAGGTTTTCATGTGATCCAAGACTTGTGGCAACACTCAGTAGCCTATGCGGCCTTCGTCATCAACACCGTGCCAAAGGCCGAGGATGAGGTCACTAGGTTTGAGAAGGCCACAGGAAAACCGTATGAAGGGCATAAACTCCTACTAGGCCAACTTGTACACTTCCGTATTCATGACCCAGCCATGAGGCATAAGTTTCAGGCATCGACCGCTCCTGGACTCTTTGCAGGTTGGAGGCTTGAACAAGGTTTTAGAATGTTGCTTTAGTGCTCCAGTATGATAAGCTGAAAGAGAGATCACTCGGCTATCGGGATGCCATAGCAGTACCTACAGAGGAGATCTATGTCCCACCTGGTGATCCGGTGCTGCCGTTGCACACAGCTGCACAAGAAGCATTGACGGAATTCAGGGACGTCAAATTAGCCGATGTGACAGCCTTGGATATTCCCTTTTCAACCGTTGAGCAATCAACGCCCATCAGGAAACGTGCTGAATATATCACACTAGAGCGTGTGTTTAAGTTTGGTGCAACGCCAGGGTGTAAAGGATGCTCTTTTGAAGGGACTACCCATAATCCAAAATGTCGAGCCAGATTTGATGCCTTGATTAAGGCCGATCGCATTGCCACTGCAACACGAAAGGCATCGCCAACGACACCGTCACCTGCTCCCGGCACACCAATGCCCGGAACGCCAATTCCAGAGGATCCTGTTCCACTGCCACCACCAACTGCTGAAGAAGAGAGTGTCTATCACGACACGGAAGGAGCCGAGTATGTAGGCAGCTCAGAAGGAGAAGAACTTGATCTCTCGAGCGTTGGCACCCTGCCACCCGAGGAGATCAGGAAGATGAAAGCCATGCCGGGAAAATCCAAGGATTTCCTTGTTCTTGATCGACCGTTCGTGGAACAATCCCTCGCATTGTGTCGCAGGAGGAGACTGTCAAGCAATGAGGATATGCCTGGCAAAGGAATGTTGTTTGAATATGCTTGCTCAGAGGACTCCAACATAGGTGTGTCGTGTGAGCAGTATGGGGTTCAGTGTATCAGGTTGTCAAAATCCTTGGTAGATTTGTCTAAGCCCGAAGATGTGCAACAGGTCATCAATCAGATGCTGCCTGGATGCGACATGTGGATGTCACTTCCATGCACGAAATTCTCACCATGGCAAGCCATGTGTGTTCACCTCTATGGTTCGCAATACCAGGCTAGCCTTACTGCTGAACAACAGGCAGCCAGGTACATGCTTGCACTCGCGATGCAAGTATTGGAGTATGTGAGCCAACAGGGGGGTCGCATAGCCATAGAGTGGCCTGCTAGCTCGGGGCTTTGGAATTTGCCAGAATGGATTGAGTTTGAGCAATCCATGAACCTACGAAGGGTGAGATTCAATGGATGCATGTTTGGTTTGAGGGGCAAACAACACCTTGTCTCGAAACCATGGTATGTTTCCACAAATGATCAACGTCTCATTGAATTGTTCAAGCAGTACAAGTGTGACAAAAGCCACACTCATGAACCAGTCGAAGGAAGCGTAACCCAAACCACTGCGTTCTATCCCAAGAGCATGACGGACTTGGTAGTTGAGGCCTGGTACCCACAGGCATACTACAATTTCATTCCCGACATGTCAGATCGCCCTTACGGGTTGGTGACAAAGTCCCTATCCCGCAGTGTGTGGTTGAATGACGAAAGGGGGGTAGCCGCAGTCAAGAAGGAGGCTGAGGGTCTAAGGGCTAACAAAACATGGTTGGATGAGACCGCCACGGAGTTGTCAGTCTTGAAGGCTCGTGCTCGATCGCAAGGCATTCGCGTGAAGGTTGCAGACCTTCTCACGTTGTGTGGCATCAAGCATCACGAACTCAGTCCTGAACTCTGGAAGTACAAGGGTCGAATAGTGTATAGGGGGGATAATATTCGGGATCAGAATGATCAAATCATCCTCTTTGATGAGACCAGCACGACACCGACGAGTCTCGTCGCACTGAACCTTTGTTTGTGGTTTGGCTGTAGAGCCGGATGCAAAACTTCCGGGGCAGATGCCGTCCAGGCATTCCTTCAATCAGACCTCGATGAAGGATCGTTTGAAGAAACTTGGGTAATCTTACCTCGGGAACTATGGCTTCCCAATTGGGAGGGCCGATATCACCGAGTAGCGGTGCGCCTTAAGAAGAGTTTGTATGGGCATCCCCAAGCAGGACGCAAATGGGAGGAACATCTCAGGCAGAGATTAGTATCCCTTGGAGGGGTTGAGATGCATAATTACCCTTCTAATTTTGTGTTTAGGTGGGGAGAGTCGCAGGAGGTGCTTGTCCTTAATGTTTACGTTGATGACTTGACATTATCAGGTCCCAGGCGCCTGCACACAGCCTTCTGGGCGGCACTGAGAAGAAAGGTTACCCTCGAACCAGAGACAGACGTGGACGCCCACGGATTGCGTATCCTAGGTCGCACACACAGTATACAGAGCCTAAACGCACAAACTAACATGTTGTTCGATATGAGGCCATATGTATCTCAGGTTGTTGACTTGTACTGTGAACTGTCTGGAACCGCACGAGAGAAACTCAAATCCGTGCCTACCCCATGCCATGTGGAAAGCAGCATGACGGATGAAGAGTTGGCCACCCAAGGGTCACTTCATTCCTGTGCCGCACGCATTCTCATGAAAGCATTGTGGAGTGCACGATTGTCTCGACCAGACATATGCTTTGCGGTTACAAGACTTGCAGCTCGTGTGACCAAATGGACTAGATGGGAAGATAGGCAGTTGCTGCGACTAGTGTCGTATCTTAAAAGTACCATCAATCTAGTGCTAGTCGGATCAGTCGACCACACTGCAACTCCAGAGCTGCATGTGTATACCGACGCCGATTTTGCCTCGTGCCCATACACCAGCAAAAGCACTTCAGGTATCTTTTATGTAATGCAGACCGGCAATTGCAAATTTCCCATTCTGTGGAGCTCTAAGAAGCAGTCCAGTACTGCACGCAGTACTCCCGAAGCGGAGGCCATTGCTCTTGCATCAGGCGTGTTTGGAGAATCTTTGCATGCTCAAGAGTATATGGAACACTGCATGGAGAAGTCAGTCAAGATCACATGTCAACAGGACAACGAAACCATCATTAAGATCATACAAGCAGGCTACTCAGCAAAGCTTCGACATGCCCCGAGAGTGCATCGTGTCAACATAGCCTCGTTGCATGACTTGCTGGAGGAGGGCGCCTTTGACCTTGTGTACTGCCATACCAAGTGCCAGCTTGCAAACGGCTTGACTAAGGTCATTACGCCTCAGGAGTGGCCCGCTATGCTTGATCAAATGTGTATGCTTTCGTTGTGAATCTACCCCATGCCGCCAGAGGGGGGAGTTGAAGATTCACGGACCATCATGAGTGCTGCCGCCATGTGTATACCTGTTGACGTATCCATATCATGAATGAACTCATTTTGTTTTGGCTCAAGGAGAAACAGGCGCGTTGCTGCTTGTTGTCAGGGTTCGTTGTTTCCCTGGGGTCTCCTTGAAACAACTAACTCCACCTCTTTCCGGGCTTCCTGACATCGGCACCGTTGCTCAGGTCCAGGCACCTTGCCCAGGTGGCGGATGAGGATTGTTTGCGACTTGACAGCCAATGAAGCACGAGTACTTCTTAGCCTTTCTTGTGGAATCAAGTGAACACGTTTTTGGTGGGAGCGGGGGGCCAGTTTGAAATTCACCAGGCTCGGAACTTTTCATCGGTGCTTAGAGTATGTCCAGGGCCTTTTCCTGGACATCTGAGGCCGGTGCAGGCCATGAGCTCGCTTCCCAGCGTGGGGGACATGCAGGCGTGGGTCGTTTGAAGGCTTCCATACTCTCCTGGCACTTCTCGAAAAAGAAACACAAAAGTGTTTATAGACATTCACTACAAGAGAACTTCTCGTGGGCTTCGGGGCTGAAGTGCCATGAACTTTTGAGATGTCGGGAGCCCAGGCAACTGTGGTTTGGAGTTTGGCAGCTGTCCAGTTGGGGTTGGGCATTGGTCTTTTGCTGCAGCTGGGATGCTCATCTTGCTGCCTTTGTATGTTAGAGCCGCAGAAGCAGTAGCAGTCGCAGTAGTGGTAGTAGTTGTAGTAGTCGTAGTAGTAGCAGTAGCAGTAGCATTTGGAGTAGCAGTAGCTAGGAGCAGTAGCTAGGAGCCGTAGCTAGGAGCAGTAGCTAGGAGCAGTGGCTAGGAGCAGTAGCCGTAGGTAAGCAGCAACAGTAGTAGTAGTGGTAGTAGTAGTAGTAGTAGTAGCAGCAGTACCAGCAGCAGTAGCAGTTGCAGCCGCAGCCGCAGTTGTAGTAGTAGTAGTAGTAGTAGTAGTAGTAGTAGTAGTACTAGCAGCAGCAGTAGTATCAGTAGTAGTAGTAGTAGTAGTAGTAGTAGTAGTAGTAGTAGTAGTAGTAGTAGTAAGTACAACTACTACTGCTCAGTACTGCTGCTACTACTGCTTCTTCTACTCCGTCTACCACTTCTACTACTTCCATTACTGCTTCTACTTCTATGACAAGCGACTACTACTGATATTGCTGGTCTGCTGCCACTGCTGCCAGGGAATGTGGCATCACTTCTCCAGCGAATAAGTGGTTTCGATCAATTTATGATTGACCATGCTAAAGGGAATGGTGTTCAACAAAAAAAGCCAAGGACACCCCGCGCTGATCACGCTTGGCCATTTAGGTGCCACACATGTTGCACGTGCTCCACACTCCGACAAGCAAACGAGGGAAGGCCATATGCTCATTGCAGGCCGCCTTCGCCTTCTCCATCAACGCACCTCGTCACCGGCGAAAAGAGAAAGAAGCGCATTTTGATGCGCGCTCCCAGCCCAGCACGCCCGGACCCGGATCGCCCAGCAGGCGCCGTGGGCCGTGGCCATCGAAACCGGCGCGCTCGGAAGGCCACGAACCGCGCTTCCCCAGTTGAGGAGGTTTAACCCCTTTTGTAACACCAATCCAAGATGGCCAACGGGGCTCCACTTGCCAGCAAGTTATTCAAGGGCTTTGGCAGTTTCCCTCTGTCTTGGAGGGGAGCAAAGACTTGGTTGCTTTTGTTTACAACATTGTCCCAGGCCTCAATACCTGACCGCAACAAATAGAGGGCCCTGTGCAGGAGGATTCCAACAAGACAGGTGTTGCGCCGTGCTCGTTTTCAAATCCGCTCAGCTGGAAAAGCCCGGGCACCCCAACAATATGAAGGGGGTGTGCGACTGCCTGCTCATGATCTTGCATGGTTGCTTGGTTTGCTGCCTTGCCGCGTTGAAGTTCCTGTGTTACGAAAAGCCTCCGAACCCAGGGTTCCCGCCACGTTGCGCGACGGATCTCTGTTTGGATTAGCACTAAAGGGGTTTGGGAGTGTCGCCATCAACCTTGCTGCCATTGGTTGGGCGTCAAGGGCGCTTGGGTATGATGCGTTTGCCCAGCTATGGCCATGGTCAGAAGGCTTTCGCCATTTCTATCTGGATCTACTCGATGTTTGCAGTTCTGAAAAGCATTTTTTGCCAACACACTTCCCCCCGTCGCAGGATGTCGCAGGTGCAAGGCAGTAAGGTCGAAAGCGATAGGGGGCTAAGCCCCATGTCAGTTGAGAAATTCTCGGTCAACGCCTTCCATGCTGTCGGGGCAGTCTCATCAAACACGACAGGCCTCTGGTCGATCTTCCTGAGGGGCCGCACGAAGAGCCCTCAAGGCACAAGCAGCATGCGTGAGTGTCCTGATTGTCAACCAGGGCTCTGCTTGCGTGTGTGATGCAATGTGCGCTGATTATTGTTTTGCAATTTGGCTGTTTGTCTCACTGTTTTTGTTTGGAGGGTTCATTAGTTTCATTCTTGTATGTTCCGGGGGAAAGAAGCTTTGAATTGCAAGGATTGCGTCGTCAATAATCTGCTGCTTCGTAACCTTACCACCCCGGTCGTGCCACCGCGGGCGGGGGGGGGGGTGGGTCGTGATGTCAGCCCGCGGCCACCTTAGAAGAGGTGGAGTGGCCCAGCATAGACACCCTAAACCACCCTCAGCCCACCCTCTTACAACCCAAAGCCAAATGAAACCAAGCCGAAAGACACCCCAAGCAAGCTCAACCTGAAGCCCGCGTCAGCCTAACCAAACCCAAGAGAACCCCAACCCCACCCAAAACAACCCCTAACACCATCCTCAACAATCAACCGTGGGCCCTCCCTCAAGCAACACTAGCCTCACCCTGCCCACCCCAACACCCTAAACCCACTCGACCGACCCTTAAGCCAGCCTATGCCTACCGAAACCTTTCGCAAGCCACCGTTAGCCTCAACATACACACGCCTTTTGGACACTTTGAAACCAACTTGAAACCTACCCCACACCAACCCTAAACCCAGACCGTACCATTGCCAGTGGCGCCAAATGGATATGTTACCTTTGAAATATGTGGATATTGTAGATGCATTGTATGTGTTGCGTAGTGTTTGCGGTTTTGCAGCCTTGGGTTGCTTTTGCAGTTTTAGAAGGATTTGTTGGCTTCAACAGCCTCAGCCACGCTGAACCCCACCCTAAACCTGTCCTAACCAACGCAACCAGGGCAAACCAACCGCAAACCAACCCAACCCCCAACCTGCCAGAAACCCATGCTAAACTTGCCCTGGACCAAGCTTGTGCAAACCTGAAGCGCTGGTGATGCTGGGGGCGTAAAAGAAGCTGCTGGAGGTTGAAACGGGGATGTTGACTGTGCTCGTTTAAAACGTGCGCATGTTGTTTGCAGCAAATGACCCCTAGGATTCAAACAGCTGGTGGATGAGCAAGGGCGGGCCCTTTAAGAGGGCCTTTGTCGCTTCTAATTCTAGGGCGAACATTGATCCGCCAAGTTTCTTAAAATCGATCTCAACATTAGCATTCTTGTATTTTGGCCTCGGCAAATCAGAGATCAGCTTGAATTGGCAGAGCACCCGTGTCACGCGTCAGCAAAATTCCAAGGGGCCCACGTTTGACAACCCACTTGGGTCGGATTGATGTCCCACACCCTGGCCTGCGAGAAATTCCAGTTTCATTCGTGGCCTTGAAAGTCGAAAAGAACGGGCCGGCTGGACGAAGTAGATGCTTATTGAAAGCTGCAAATTTGCAGACACGGCGTGTGCGATTTCAATGTCCCGACGCTTTGTTGCACACTTTCCCATAGGTTCCCACAGGAGCACATGATCGAGCCTTTTCCACCCTGGTCTTCCCCAGTAGTTTGTTTCGTGGGCATGGCCCGTGGGACAGATGGCCATGAGTTGTCAAGCAGCCGCCTGGACATGTCGGACAACTTACTCACCAGCCAACGTTTGCTTCAACCTCTGTCTCTTGTTCAAGTCCCAACATTTGGGCTGTGTCAATCCAGCGACCCCTTTGGTTCCAGCTGGAAGGGATGTGAACTCAGCCTGAAGCAATCGGATTGGCTCCTGCGCGGTCCCCAAGTCTCAACGCACCCGCGCGCCTTTAAGACCTGCCTGCCAGGCTCATGCCCACTCTGAGCGCGATTCCCTCCGGCTCCTTTCAGCCCCAGAAGAGCGCAGGGGGGCCCAAGGGCAATCACCAAGCTTTTCAATGGGATGGATATGGATGGATTGAGGTGGTTGGATGACTTGCCCTTTTAAAGTGTCCAGTTCAGTGGCTGTGGGAAACAACATGTTTCAAGTGAATCAATAAGAAGGGCTCAGTGCACCCTGGTGCGCACCCTTTGTATGATTCATGGCAGACTGCCCAGCAGTCCGGAGTAAAGTCAGCGAACTAAGGGTGCAAGGAAGGTTTGCAATGGGAAGGACGGGAAGGCACTCCCTGACTCCCTTTCCCAAGAGGATGCTCTCTCAGCAACATCGGCAACATGGGGCCAGCCCCGTTGCACCGGTGTTTTTTCTTGACCCCGGGCGTGAATCCACCCTCGAAAAAGCCTTGTTTCCGGAGGCGAGAATACAACAAAAAGCACTAGCCCTCCGAATGTGAATTTCAATTTATGGGAGTGCAAAAAACACAGCACTGGAGCCAAGCTGGAGGTGACCAGGTGTGAGCTCTCAAGAAAGCAGAGCGCGCCTAGCGGGTTTGGATGTGTGTCCAAGCGGTTTCGCTTTTTGGCAGGGTTTCAGCATGGGGTTTCAGCACCCTTCCCTTGAGATGCGGGAGCCCCGCACCTGCTGATCGGAGGTGTTGCAGTTCGATCTACCCAACGGAGCTGGCGACGACACTGAGGATGTCAAGAGAGAGGCTTGGCAGCGCCGACCTGTTTTGCAAATGAGGCCACTCCAGCTCTTCCTACGGGGCGATAAAAAAATGAGGGTGAAAGCAACAACGCCAACATGCGGACCAAGAACCTAGGCCTTTTCGATTCTAGATCGAGCGCTTGGGGAGTGCCCCTTGCTGGAAGATCTCATCCGCTTTATTTTGATTTACTCGCCCAGTGGAACACCCAGCGGAGCTTGTGAGGCCGTTCGCAGCCTAAGCGGCGTTGCCACTTGGCTTGGATGGGAGACGCACGACCGAGAGACAGAGAGAGAGATACATATTACATGCATGCATACATATGCTCCCCCCCCCCCAGATTCCCTCCCCATTTCTCTGTATTTTGGCAGAATTATAATTACCGGTATTTAGACCCGGGGGCCAAGATCCAAGATTCGTGGGGGAGTACCGGTATTTAGATTATTTCAAAATGCGAGTATATTTGGACTTCTAAATCCGGGGTATGTACATCCTGGATCCAAGATCCAACCCAAGATTTCCCACAAGTCCCCCAGCAATATTGGATCTTGGATCCAGGATCTCAATACCGGTATGTAGACATCAAAATGCCGGATCCCAACGGTCGCCAGAAATCCCCACCATAGCTTTTTTGTGTTCCCGGCCAGCCGGCCACGGCCGTGGCCGTGATCCCGGATCTTGGATCTGAGAACCTTGTTTAGATTCACAAGCAAGGTTGAGTAAATATCCTTTGTTCTTTGCGAACATATGTCCTGGCAGTTGTGAGTCTTGAATATAGGAAAGATGATGTTCCATTTTGTTCCAGGGATACACAACTTTCCTTGTTGGTCCCCTTTCTGTAATTTCCCGGGGTCTGGCATTTCTCTTGCTGCCGCAATCGAATTGCTCCCGGCCCAAAACCAGAGTAAAAAGGGCTTCATACGCTCTGGTCTCAAACTGATTCGAAACAGTGTTTCCTAAGACAACTTGCAGCTCAAGATTTGCTTGGGGAAGTCGCGTTTGCTTTTGGAAGCCAAGCGGGGGAATTTCTCGAATGAGTCTGCCCTTCTTTTTTGTTGCCTTGGATTTCTGCAGCAAGCCAGAAGCCTAAAATTTGGGTGAGCTCCTGCTCCTGAAATCTTCCTGTTGAGCTTGGCAAGCACTATTCACCCTCCTGGTATTTACCTTAGCGTACGCGCTGGCCAATCATAGATGAAGTCAATCTCGCCCATGGCCATGGATGGGAGAAGAAAATCCCAGGAAGCCGTCGCCGATTGGCAAAGGTTTGGGGTGCTTCCATTCGATATCGGGTGTTCCTGAAATGGAGAACCCTTTGTTTTGATGGATCTGGTGAGCTTATCCATGTGTCGCTTTGAGATTATCCAATTGAATGGTTGTTGTCTTGGTGCGCCAAGAGCTCTTAGCGAGGGCTACGGCTGCGAATTCAAGGGTGCATACTCTCCCAGAAGCAGGACACCCGGTGAGTCAGTGTGTGTGTGTGTGTACGTGACCATGTGTGTGTGTGTGTGCCCAAGCGATTGCATGTTTTTAGGGCCGAGTTGCAAAAAGGGACCCACCATGAATCCGCGTCCCTGTAATTGGTGGTTTGGATTGGTGGTTTGGCGGTTTCTCTTGCACCCCCGACAAGAGCCAGCGGTTCAAATCCCCAAATCACCAATCCAAACCACCAATTCAGGATGATCTGGATAAAACCAAACATGGAGGGCCAGTTTTGCAATAGAATTGACACGTTCCCATTTAACCTTAATAAGAAACCCGTCTTCCGAGACATTGCTTGCAGATCGGAGGTCGAAGACAATGAGCAAGGCGACAAGAACGCGGCTTGGCATGGGCTGAAAGCGAATACCATTTGTGTTAAGATTTGGCTTATGTCAAATTAATTGACTTCCAGGGCAGAACGCATCGCATCCGGGCGTGACAAAGATGGTAGTGAAAACAACGATGCCAACATGATTGATGGCCAAAAACCAAGGCCGATCCTAGAGTGCAGATCAAGTACTTGGGGAGTGCTTCCTGCCGGAAGATCTCATCCGATATCAGTGACTTACTCGCCCTACGTAACACGGGGTGCTGACCTCCCTTACAAAGTAGTACAAATGCATTTCAGAATACTCGTGAAGTGCTGCAGCATGATTTGTATTGAGTTCCACAGGCATATTGTTAGGTCCAGTTTGCGGAGCAGTAGCTGGAAGTCTTTGCAAAAGGCTTGGACCGGCTGATGATTTGTTTGGAAAGCTTGAGCATGGTCCGACATTTTCCTCCTGGAAAATGTACCATATGCTTGACCTAGGCGATGTTGCTACTGTAGGCCTGTTTGTGCTGCAAACCTACTCGCAGTAGCAACGCGAGCTGATAGGGGACAGGGTCCATTTTGCGCAACAGCAGCAACAAGCTCTCCTTTCTATGGAGTTGAGTTTTCCGGTAGTGCCGTGAAGAAATCGTTCAGAAGAGAGAGCACTTGGCGCTGAGCCTTTCAAATTGCAATGGCTATGACATTTGACCTGACACGTGGCGCCAGACCCCTGTAGGCTTGTCGGCTGTCCGCCTGCGACGCCTTCACGTGGTTTGCTGGTCAGCGCCTATCACCCACCGAAAAGCTTTTGTATGCATAAATACGCCTCGATTTGCGCCGAGCTCAGGAGGAGAACTTACTAATGCGCAGCCCGCCATCAAGCCCCCAGATGGACAACATGATCAGCCTCAGCTTTTCGGCTGCAGAGAGTTCATCGCGGACGGTTTCCTGGGCATAACTCCCCAAAAAGAAGCCACCAAGCGATTGGGAGTAGCGCAAGCAAGGGTGATTGCGCAAGCCCCTGGCCCTTGCAAGCGGGTGCGCAATACGTAAGGTTATTCTCCGCACTTGCTGAATTACCGCAGCAGAGGCAAGAACAATCTTGTGACTCTGTGCATGAACTCAGCGGCCCGAGCCTCTGGTTGAGGACGGCTCGCTGGGGACCACTTGCAACCGGCATTGGCCGGAAAAGGCAAAGGTCTCGGCCAGCCCTGACAAAACGCTCTGCCTGGTTCTGCAAGCACTCAAGGAAGCATGACACACCGCCAGCTGCAGGCAAGAAGTCCAACACTGTGATCTTGCACCAGTACAACACCATCGAGGAGCAGTGTCTTCACCCTAGCGTCGACTTCCTTGGCAGTGGCACATGTACCCCTGTTGGTTGTTTTTGGCGCCACACCCAAAGCTGAGCACAAGCACAACTTTCGGCAAAGTGGCAAGCGAGTCACTGGGACCTTACTAGGGTAACCCGGGCTCCTGTGCAGACAATGCCGCGGGAGACAAGAGTGCTCCACGCGTCAGAGTTGTAGGCGGTGTTGGCCTGCAACCTCACCAGCATGAATGTGTTTGGGATTGACTTTGCACCTAGTCATCGGACTGGGTTGTTCAGAGGCAATCTCTTTGGCCATTTACTGCGTATGCAGGTCGTCCTGGTTGAGCAAGCCAAGCCATTTGAAATTTGGGTCGAAGCTTTGAGGGCTCCCACACTCCCGTGCCGCTCTTTGCATACCGAACCATATCCACTGCAATGGCAATGCCTTCGGTTCAATACATCTCGCCCATACTCCCGCAAGTGACGTGTAGCGCTCCATCTGGGTGTCGAAGTGTTTGTTCCAAGAAGGTGTACGCGTGGAATTGGCTAGGCCGGGCCGTTGGTATTGGTCCAACTGTCCAGTAGCCATGGTCCATTTGGGACATTAGCTGGGCTCACTAGTTTGCCAATGTGCATTCCGGAACTGCAAGTTTTGACCGTTGCAGAGACGAGCGG